AAGGGCAGCAGGTCTGGGTGGGGCTCCCTGGGTCCCCGTGGAACCTCACTTACAGATTCCACATGGCTTCCTCTGTCTGAATGGTCAGTTTTTTATTCTGGAGTCTCTGGCTCTGACCTGAATGGTCCATTTCAGGGTAGAGGAGGGTGAGGGGTGCTTCTACTTTCTACTGTGATTGGCCACTGCTAATATGGGAGGGAGGGGAGAAAGCCCTTCTCAGACCCCTGATTCCTGATGCCCTGCCCTGCATCTGCAGCCGAGTATTCCCGGACAAGGAGGTCATGCTCGAGGCGGCCTTTGTCCTGGCAGCTGAGATTTCCAGCAAGAGTCCTGTGGCAGTTCAGGGCACAAAAATCAACCTGCTCTACTCCCGTGACCATTCGGTGGCCGAGAGCCTCAACTACATGGTAAGACTCTCCATCTGACCAATCACAGCCCTTCTCTGGTCCTAGAGCAACCAGTCAGGGCTCAGAGTCTGCTGCAGGCCTTGTTCTCTGATTGGTGTGCTGCTGTGTCCCGTTTTTCATTGGTCCAACTCCAGTTTTGCTGTCTTTTCCATTACATGCTGTTCTCTTTATCCAGACGTCCTGGAACATGAGCATGCTGCAAACCGAGGACATTATTAAGTCTGTCCAGGCCGCAGTGGAGAAGAAGGACCTGAAGAGCGTCACTTTCTCCAAGCTCTGAGAGACCCTGTGTCTCAGGCCCTGGCCAGGGATCCGGCCTCGTTCCCCCTCCCTCCTGTGTTTCCGCACCCACGGAGAGGGAGGGTTAGTGAAGATGCGCATCTTGCTGCCGTCTCACCCAGTTCATAAACTTATGAGCCTGATTTCTTCATGCCCGGGGCTGTATCTTCCCCCCACAAACAATAAAGCAAAGTCAAGAACCTGGTGTCCTTATTGGAGATGGGGGAGGTGCAAAGGGGCTAAGATGTGCCTGGGGGTCCATGGACCACAGTTGTGCTGAAGGTTGGGGAGAGAACTTTGACCAATGGGAATGGGAGCGGTGCAGGTGTTGACCAATCAGGGTTGGCAGTGGACAGGCCAGGACCAACAGAAAATCTGGCATAGATGGAGGTGTAGGTAGAAACCCTTTGCTTCCTCACACAACCAAAAGGAGGATAACAACTGATCTAAAATCAATAAACAACCAGAAGTGCCAGAAAATCAAACTGCGTGGAACTATGACAGCCAAGGGGTTAAAAAGACAGTCAACCAGACCAACCAGACTGGTAGGAGAGAGACGAGGCAGACGGGACTGGCTGAACAGGAAACAGACTCACAGATGACTGTGGACTACAGTGGGGGGGGGAGTTTGCCTCGGTGGGAGAAACTCCCAGTCTCACATGAGAGTTCATTGGAAAGTGGGGCTAGAGCGGAGCAGGCAAGCTGCATGGTTCCCCCTCCGGCTCCTCCCCCACAGACATGCACCACAATACGGCAAAGAGTGTTGTCCTGCCCTGGGGAACACCTAAGGCCCCACCCCTTTACAACTTAACAGGTGCACCAAGACAAAGAAATATGGCCCGAATGAAAGAACAGAACAAAACTAAAGAAAGAGAACTAAGCGATGAGGAGATAGGCAACCTACCAGATGGAGAGTTCTAAACAGAATGTTCACAGAACTGATGGAGCTTGGTCCCAAAATGAAAGAACAAATGAAGGATACCCAAAGTGAAATGAAGCAAAATATTCAGGAAACCAACAGTGAAGGGAAGGAAACCAGGACTCAAATCAATGATTTGGAACAAAAGGAAAAAATAAACATCCAACTGGAACAGAATGAAAAAACAATTCGAAAAATTGAAGAGAAACTTAGGAACCTCTGGGACAACTTGAAATGTTCCAGTATCCAAACCAGGGCTTCCAGAAGGAGAACAAGAGCAAGAAGTGGAAAACTTGTCCTGGCTGGTGTAGCTCAGTGGATTGAGCACAGGCCTGCGAACCACACGATCGCAGTTTGATTCCCAGTCGGAACTGGTCGCAGGCCAGTTCCCAGAAAGGGACGCATGAGAGGCAACCAGACATTGATATTTCTCTCCCTCTCTCCTTCTCTTCCCCTCTGAAGATAAGTAAATAAAATCTTTAAAATTTTTTTTAAAAATTAAAAAAAATTAAAAAAGAAATGGAAAACTTATTTGAACAAATAATAAAGGAAAACTTCCCCAATCTAGCCAAGGAAATAGACTTCCAGGAAGTCCAGGAAGCCCAGAGAGTCCCAAAGAAGTTGTACACAAGGAGGAACACACCAAGGCATATCATCATTAAGTTACCCAAGATTAAAGATAAAGAGAGAATCTTAAAAGCATCAAGAAGAGAGGAGACAGTGATCTACAAAGGAATTCCCATCAGACTGTCAGCTGATTTCTCAAAAGAGACCTTGCAGGCAAGAAGGGGCTGGAAAGAAGTATTCAAAGTTATGAAAGGCAAGGACCTATAGCCAAGATTGCTCTACCCAGCAAAACTATCATTTAGAATGGAAGGGCAGATAAAGTGCTTCTCAGATAAGGTCAAGTTAAAGGAGTTTGTTGGGAACCGCTCTGCCTGGTTTCAGGAGCTGTAACTGCCCCCCATGGCTAAGGCTCAGTAAGTGACCTCTGGAATGCAAGCCACTTAGGAGACGAAGCTTGTCTCTGGCAGCAACGCTGCTTCTGCTTCATCCTTCTGTCCCCAGTGCTTGGTCAGTTAGTCAATGACGGGTACAACCCCTCTGGGGGGGGCAACCTAAGCCAGACACGATCACTTGGGAGGCCCTCAAGGAAGGACTCGGGGCTGCAGCGAAGAGGGAGTGATGGACCCTCACGCGCCGGCTATTCTGGCATAGCCTGCATCCCCATTTCCGTCTGGGAGAAGCGCTTTCTGGCTCTAATCCCCTTAACCCTAAAAACTTATGACGGGGAGGGTGGTGCAGTCCTCTGCCAGCTAGAGTGGGTTCCAGGGTGATCGGGCATAAGAAAGAATTCAAAGTCCTGTGAAGCCTGCTTTGCTAAGAGTGTTTTTATTCATATGATAAAGGTCCGAGCAGGAAATGAGTATGTCTCCCAAAGTTTTTGCAACCCCCTTACCTGACAGACACTGACTCAGACTAAGCCCTCAGATTTCTTTGAAATGTTATCTATTGTTCGATCCTGGCCACCTGACATTGATTGATGAGCTTTACCTGTATTCCTGTGTATTACAACCCAATAAAAGCCATTGAGGAAGGGGCTCTTGGTCCTTCTCCTCTGAGAGACTGACCACCTCTCCTCCCCAAGCAGATCATGTCTTGGTAGTTTCACTTTTATCCGTGGCTTGGCTCACAAGGGGGACTTGTGAGCAAAGTTGCCACCACAGGAGTTCATCATCACCAAGCCCTTATTATATGAAATGTTAAAGGGACTTATCTAAGAAAAAGAAGATAAAAAAAACTATAAACAGGAAAATGTCAACAAACTCACAACTTTCAACAAATGAACCTAAAAGAAAAGAAAAATAATGAAAACAAAAACTAAGCAAACAACTAGAACGGGAACAGAATCAGAGAAATGGAGACCACATGGAGGGTTTTCGGTGGGGAGGGGGAGGGAATGGGGGGAAAGGTACAGGGAAGAAGAAGCATAATTGGTAGTCATAAAATAGATGGGGAGAGATTAAAAATGGCATAGAAAACAGAACTCAAAGAACTTACGTGTATGACCCATGAACATAAACTAAGTGGGGGGAACGCTGGAGGGTTGGGGGGTGCAGGGCGGAGGGGTGATAAAGAAGGGAAATCGGGACTGTAACAGCATAATCAATAAAATATACATAAAAGAAGGAAAGAAAGTCTGGCACAGATGGAGCCAGCAGAAGTCACATGGCTTCCTCTGGGCTCAAAGGCTAGTTGGTCTCCCCGCCTGCCCCAGGCTCCAGGGCGGCGTTGGCCCCGCCCGGTCCTCACTGCACAGTGGGATTGGTGCTGGAGTCTGGCTAGGGTCCCATTGCTCTGCAGTCTTAGGTGAGCTGCTTCATATCTTCGAACTCTGGGTTTTCTCATCCACATACATACAATCCCACCCTCCTGGATTTATGTTCAGAATCACCTACAGACCAAGCATTAATCTAGTGCCTTCCATATGCCAAACCTGTTCTGAGCATTTATTAACTTGGTGATTTCTGTCAAGGACCTATGAGGTTGATACTATTAATATCCCCATTTTACAGAAGGGAAAAATGGGCAAATTGAGGTTAAGGCACTGACCCAGGATCACAGAGCCAGGAAGTAGCAGAGGCAGAATTTGTTTATTTATTTTTAATTTTATTTATTTATTTTTAGAGACAGGGGAAAGGAGGGAGAAAGAGGGAGAGAAACATCCATGTGTGACAGATGCATCGATCGGTTGCCTCTCACGTGCCCCCCCAACTGGGCATCTGGTTGTCAATCCAGTGAGGCACACCAACCAGGGCCAGAGGCAGGATTTGACCCTGTAACCTCTGGCTGCAGAAATCAGTGATCTAATCCACCACGTACTCAATAGAAAGTCCTGTAGTAGGCACGCAGTCGGTTTAGGTCCCCTCACAGTTCCTGGCATGTCCTGAGCACCCAGCCCCCCCTGCTTTCGCTCGCTCCCGCTGCCCACCTGCCGCGTCCTGGGCCGCTCCTGCAGCCCTGCCCTGCGCTGCCCAACCCACCCAACCTCGCCCTCCATCTGATAACAAAGGTCCAGGGAGGGTTTATGGGCTCTGATAAGGCACTGGCGGGGGCCAAGTTCACTAGCACTTCCTCTTTGCAGAAGGGTCAGGAGGAGGGGTCCCTGACCTGAGTCCCCCCAGGCCTGGCCTGGATGATCTGGGTTCTGGCTGGTTGCCACTGAGGCTGGCAAGAAAGGGGAGACCAGGGGGTGCTCAAGGAGAAGGTGTGAGCCCGGGGTGCCCAGAAGAGGGACCCCGTGAGCCCTTGCCCTGCCCGCCCCTCCCTGTCCTGAGGTATAAGAGCCAGCTGCCACCTGCCACCTGTCACCATTTCCCTCTCCTGCAGTGCTTCTCACAGGACGAGCCACCAGCCCAGTCATTCAAGATGGCCTTTGTCCCTGCACCTGGCTACCAGCCCACCTACAACCCGGTGAGATACTCTTCCAGGCATTAGCCCAGGCCCTGGCCTGGCTCCAGCCTGGCCTCTCGACTCCAGTTTCCTCTCACCTCAAACTGCGGAGGTGCCCACCAGACCCCTGGGTCTGATGTCCCCAGTACTGGCCATGGCGCGTGATTCACTCCCACCCTGTCCCTCAGGCTGTTTGTGTCCACGCCAAACTCTCGGCCCGCCTCATCTTCATGCTGACCCCTCACTCCTTGGTTTCCTCTTTCTTGCTTAAGGGAGGAGGGCAGGGAGCTTCTGGATGAGGGGGAAAGGCTGCAGTCAGTGGACAGTCATTGAGACCCCTCCCCCGGCCCCTTCTACAGACTCTGCCCTACAACAAGCCCATCCCCGGAGGGCTCAGTGTGGGAATGTCCGTGTACATCCAAGGAATGGCTAGTGAGCACATGAAGAGGTAAGCCCCTCCCCCAGGCCAGGCTAGGCTGGGGGGCGGGCACAAGAAGGGGCTTCTGGCTTTCTTCCTTTCCCCCACCCTGGCTGGGGAGGAGCTCGGTGGTGGCACCGCACCGGCTGGCCAAAGACGGCTCTGGCCTGGGGAGCCCAGGGCTTGGTGATGAGACCAGGAGGGGAGCCCTGGGGGTTGGGGGCGGGCAGGAGGCTCACCAGAAGACAAGACGACGCGGCCCCGGAATTGGGCTGCTGGGTTGGAACCTGCGGGTGTGACAGCGTGAACGAAAACCACAGGCCGAGCAGAAGCTGGGCCAGTTCTGTCGGCAGCTGTGTGACTGGGAAAGCTACTGTCCCTCTCTGTGCTTTAGTTCCCACCTATAGAATGGGACTCAGTGTATAAAGCATGTGGAACTGGAAAGGAAGCACTAAAATAAGTCCTTACATGGCAATGATAACTGAACTGACGCCACAAGATCGCTGGTTCTAAGCTCATCATCCCTCCGCTCACGGAGGGCCCGCTTTGTGCCTGGGCCCCGTGGCCGAGCGGCCAACAGCACAGACAAAGGCCCCTGTCCTCATGGCTGCCACCCTAGTAGAGGCAGATGGATGGACATGAGAGAGAAGCACCTGGCACTATCCCTTTAAATAGAGTGTCCAGGAATGGCCTCCCTGGGGAGGGGACATTTCAGCAAAGACCCCATGGAGGTGAGGGAGGGAGCCTGGGGTGGACCTGGAAGAACAGTGTTCTAGGCAGAAAGAGCAGCCAGTGCAAAGGCCCTGAGACAGGTGTGCGCCTGCCCGGACGGAACAACTTTGGGGGTGCTGGTGTGAGGGGAGGTGCTCCGACTTGGATGTTCAGCCGCTCCCTCTGGCTCCACGTGGGGACTGACCTACAGGGCCAGGATTGCAGCAAGAAGTCTGAATCGGCAGATGCAGGCTTCCTGGGACAGCGCCTGGCCCGTGGTGGCCGAGGGTGAACTCGGCAGTCCCAGTGGCAGCCCTACTGAGGGGCTGGGGAGAAGCCCAGGAGGGAAAGGGAGTGAGCGAATCTGCCTCCCGAAACTCAGGGGCACACCCACCCCCTCCTGTTCTGACCCCTGGAACGAGGTGGGACAGACGGGGCTTCCCAGAGGAGGGTCTGCGGGGCTGGCGGGTGGGGCCAGGGAAACAACTCTTCCCGTCCCACCAGGTTCCACGTGAACTTTGTGGCGGGACCGAACCCAGGGTCCGACATTGCCTTTCACTTCAATCCCCGCTTTGATGGCTGGGACAAGGTGGTCTTCAACTCGCAGCAGGGCGGCAAGTGGGGCAGCGAGGAGAGGAAGAGGAGTATGCCCTTCCGCAAGGGCGCCGCCTTCGAGCTGGTGATCATGGTCCTCACGGAGCACTACAAGGTGGAAGCCCAGGCCGGGGCCCCCTCCCTCCCTCCCTCCCTCCTCCTCCCTTTCCCGCTCCCCCCCCCCGCCCCCCTTCTTTCCTTCCTCCTGTCTTCTTCTTCTTTCTCTCTTCCCCCTCCCTCCTTCCTTCCTAGCTCACTTTTTTCCTTCTACTTCTTCCCCTACCTATTAAATTGTTTTCTCTTTTTCTCTTTTTCTCATCCCCATGCCTCCACCGCAGAGAGGCTTCTAACCCGTTTAGATAACGTACATCATCTGTTTCTTTGTGTTCTTGCAAAACATGTGTCTTTGCTGCTTCTCACGGAGCACTCTGAGCTCACACCCGCAGGGAAGGCGTCTCCCTGGCCAGCTCCAGTCATGGTCGGCCCTGCTTCCCTCCTCACCTCACACTTCCCCTCCCAAGTGATGGCACAGCAAACCGCAGAAAGCATACAACTTCATTCATAAATGTGTCAGCTTTTTAAAAAAGATTTTATTTATTTATTTATTTATTTATTTTTAGAGAGAGGGGAAGGGAGAGAAGGGAGAAATATCCATGTGTGGTTGCCTCTCTTGCACCCCCTACTGGAGACCTGGTTCAAACCCAGGCACGTGCCCTGACTGGGAATCCAACCGGTGACCCTTTGGTCCACAGGCCCGCACTCAGTCCGCTGAGCCACGCCAGTCAGGGCCATTTCAGCTTTTATTAACACAGTCATGCCGCCATGATCACACCTAAAAATGGACAGCGTGTCCTTATTGTCACCACACGCCTTGTTTGTCGTTTCCTGCAGTTCGTTTGAGTCAGGGTCCAAACGAGCCGCACACATTGTGACTGGCTGCTACTGTGCACGTGTTTCTGAACACGACCCACGTGTTCTGTGCGACCCACGCACAGAAAAGTGCACGCCACGAGTGCTTTCTTCTCACAGAGAGCGTGCCCGTGCAGCCGGGCCCTCGGCCCACAAACACGCTCCCGGCCCCAGATAACCCTGAGTGCCCGCGGTCCCCTTGCCCCCAGGGGCGGCCTTTCCCCTGACTTCTCTCAGCCCCGACCTCCTTCTGTGCCTCTGTTTCTTTAAGTGTGTGAGCTCGGTCCTGTCCGTCACTTTCTGCCCTGTTCTCACGTATGGCGTGTGTGTTAAGCCCCCGGGTTTGCTGTCACACATGGTCGGCACCTCCCGACGGTGGCGCAGGGCTCCTGGCACGCCCACTCTGAGTATGACCCATCGCCGTGCCCGGCTCCCCGTCAAGGACACTGAGCAGACCCCGTGCACATGTGTCCGCGGGACTCATGAGAGGCGTCCCTAGGAGGGGAACTGCTGGGCTGGGCCACCCCCCCCCCGCCCCCCGACCTTTGTTTGCCCTCATATGGGCACCAGGTTTCTAACCTCATCGCTGGGGCTTAGCTCCTCGCTCTGAGGTTGGACAGACAGGGATCCGAGACTGGGCTTTGCCCCTTCCCAGTGTGTGACCCCTGACCTGGCCAGTCTCTCCCCGGGCGCCTCTGCTTTCTTGGACCACAGGGACAGTCCCTTGTCCTGCCGCACAGCTGCTGAGGGAATCGCGTGTTGTCATCGCAACAGCAAGTGCTTACCCCGTAGGAAGCACCCAGCCCCGCGGGGCCGGCTCTCGGCCGGTGGCCATTGCTCAGCATGGCAACTAGAACCACGCGCTGAGATACGAGTTCCAGGCAAGGCTCTCCACAGGGTGTGCGCAGCGCCCCCAACAGGCTCTGCCGGGTCAGAGTGAGGGGTGGGCCGATTTACAGGTGAGGAAATAAAGTCCCAGAGAGGTGAAGCGATCTACCTGAGGTCACACAGGTAAGACAGGTCCGAGATCGACTACCACCCCAACTCATTTGGCGCTCCAAGTGGGACCCAGACTCGATTCTCTCCTGATCTCCATCCCCAGACTACAGTCTATGTTCTCATCCGCCAGTCTGTGAACTGACTTTTGACCCCAGCTTGACTTCTGACCTGTGGACTCCAAGGCTCCTGACACTGAAGCTATCTCAGCTCATCCCCGAGACTTTTGATCCCAAGTCTTTTGATCCCAAGTTAAAAAGACCCCTGTTCCCAGCTTCCTGTCGCTCCCTCCCCAGCTCACGAGTGCTGACTCCGCCCTACCCTGCCCTCCAGGTGGTGGTAAACGGAAATCCGTTTTATGAGTTCGGGCACCGGCTCCCCCCACAGATGGTCACGCACCTGCAAGTGGACGGGGACCTGGAGCTTCAATCAATCAATTTCATGGGAGGCCAGCCAAGCCCAGGCCACGTGCGTAGCGTCTCCCTCTCTCACTGGCTTCCTTCTTCAACCCGTTCATTCCCACATTCCTTTGTTTCCTCTGCTGGGCGATGCCGTGGACCCAAAGGCCCAAGACAGTCTAGTATGTTCCCTGATGGTGTTGGGCACAGTGGTCAGGGCCAGGATGGGGGACGTTCGGGAGCTTTGGGGAGTCTTCGGGAAGGGCTTCCTGAAGACGGGGAGGAGGAAGAGTGTATTCGAGGAAGTGTGTGGTCAGGCTCCTGACGTGCCCTTCAGCTGAAAGTTCCACGCTGCCAGCCTGTAAGCCCCCGCTGCTCCCCGGCACGGTGCTCCGTGACCCTCAGCTCCGAGTCATCGCTGTGGGAGCTGAGCCGTGGGGAGCAGGGGGAACCTGCCCCAGGTCGGGGCCGGCAAGTCCAAGCCCCAGGGTCTGTGCTCCGACCACGCCTCTGCTCCCTCGTGAGGAAATGTCGGGAATGTCCTTATCCTTAAGGGGGTCGCCGGCCTATGGCTCCATTTTACCTTCACGTTTCGTCATTGCACATTTGAAAAATCAACAGTAAGGCCTGCAGAAAAGGGCCTTCGGGGTAGCTGGCTGAAAATGGAAGTCGAGGCAGAAAGGAGGTCATTAGAAAGAAGAGGAAGCAGAAAGAGCGAATGAAAGTTAACTCGGGAAGGGAAAGGTGTTTGGGGCAGAAGAAACCACCTGAGAAAAGGTGAGGAGGAGAGAGACGGGAACAGGGAGAGAGAAGCCCGTGCAGACTGAGAGGCAGAGACAGACAAAGGCTCGGAGGACTCCTCCGGGCCCCGTGCTGGGCACCGGCAGAGAGGGGCGAATGGTGGTCGGGGGCGAGATGAGCGTGGGTGTTGTGTGGGCCCGGGAGGAGTGGACACGTTATTGTGCAGCGTCTGATTGCTGCGGAGTGCAGCGGAGGGGCAGAGGAGAACAGCAGGAAGCCAGGGAAGGAGAGGATAGAGTTTACCAGGCTTGTCCTAAGGGGTGGAGCGAGATTCACCATGCGCTGGAGATCCCTAAACACAGCGAGTCTCCCTCCATTAATGAGCCGTCTGGGTGCCGCCCTGTGACCCCAAAGCTCCCTCGGTGGGGGCGGGGAGCCTGCCTCAGGGCAGCGTCCTGGGCCTCAGTCTGGAGTCCCTCTCATCACCTCCTTCTCTCTCTGTGCCCACAGCCACCCATGACTATTCCAGCTTATCCAGTAAGTACCCTCGAGGTGGGGGTTCGTGGCTGAGGGGGCCCTGGGGTGGCCGAAGGACCCCAGCCCTCCTCACCGTTCCTGCTTTTTGTGTGTTTGTGTAGGGTCCGGGACACAGCAACCCACCCTCAATGAATACACTACCTGTAAGTGGGAGGCCTGTGTGGCCACCTGGAGGGAGTGGCGAGAACCGGGAGGGTCAGAGGTTGGTTCCCCAGGAGTAATAATCCAACACCTAGAGATAACACCTGCCTGGCGTAGGTGGGTTGTAAATATTTGTCCAGTAATATCGAATAATATCTTTTCTTCTTCACTTCACAGACCATGGAGGGACCCCCAATTTTCAACCCGGTAAGGAGCCCTGTGGTTTAGGGCTCTGTGGTGGGCCACTGTGGGGAAGCAGAACTGTGGGGGGCATGGGGGGCCCTGACCCACGGGGCCCACTGCAAGGGCAGGACGTAGAGTGGCAGAGGGTGTGTGGGATGGGATGCAGGAAGAGGGAGGAGTTGGTGGTCTGGGTGGGGCAGGGGACGGGGTGGGGGACATTTTCCAGGATGACTATGGGCCCCTCTTTGAAAATGTGTCTTTGCGTCTGGCTTCTGGTGGCCTGAGGGATGATGGGACCCCATGATCTCTTTCCACAGCCTGTGCCATTTACGGGAAGAATACAAGGGGGGCTTACAGCCCGAAAAACCATCATCGTGAAGGGCTATGTGCCCCCCACTAGCAAGAGGTACAGAACCTGGACTGAGGTGGGAATCCGTGGCTCATCTCCTCCCACAGGCCCAGGAGTCCAGTGCCCAGCGCCCATTCCCGTAGGGGAACCAGGTGCTGGCCCCTTCGACCCTGATCTCCCTCTCCGTCCCCAGCTTTCAGATCAACTTCAAGGTGGGGTCCTCAGGGGACCGGGCTCTCCACATTAACCCCCGTCTGAACGAGGGCACCGTGGTGCGGAACAGCCATCTGAACGGCTCGTGGGGCTCTGAGGAGAGGAAGCTCTCCTACAACCCCTTCGGTTTCGGCCAGTTCTTTGACGTGAGTCTGGGTCTCCTATCCCTCCCGTGCAAAGCCTTCGTCCTGGCTGCGGCCTCACGCCCCCTCTCCCTGCAGCTGTCCATCCGCTGCGGCCTGGATCGCTTCAAGGTTTACGCCAATGGCCAGCACCTCTTTGACTACTCCCATCGGCTTTCGGCCTTCCAGAAGGTGGACACTCTGGAGATCCTGGGGGATGTCACCTTGTCCTACGTCCAGATCTGATCTAGTCCTGGGACCATAACCCCTGGGAACATATGGAGAAGGACCCCATAGGACTCCCTTCTAAGCCCCTAATAAACTGTCCGAGGGCATCTAACGAGTGTCCATGGCTCCGTGCACCTCCCTCTCTGCCTCTTCCTCCCTCCCTCCCTCCCTCCCTCCCTCCCTCCCTCCCTTCCTTCCTTCCTTCCTTCCTTCCTTCCTTCCTTCCTTCCTGGGTTCATCGTGTGCCAGCCCCCCACCCTCCCACACGATGAGCCCAGGTACCTGCCCCCCTTCCCCACTGACCTTAGGGCCTCGTTGCGGCAACTCATCTGCTCCACACAACAGTCATCAGCGCCCAAAATCAAAAATGAACAGCACTAATGACTCCAACAGAAAATGCAAAACATTATGAGGGAATATGAGGAACAATGCAGGCCGACAGGTCAGGCAGCTTAGATATGAGAACAAATTCCGAGAAAGTCAGACATTTTCTAAACTGACTAGATAAGACATAGAAAATACTTCTTTTTTTCCTCCATAGAAACATTCATAAGTTTTTTGTAGAAATATACATTGCAACTTATTTGAGAATTACAAAGATCTAGAGTAGCCCTGACCAGCGTAGCTCAGTTGGTTTAGCGTCACCCCACAAAGCGAAGTGTTGCTGGTTTGATTCCTGGCCTGGGCACGTGCCTGGGTTGCGAGTCAAGGCCCCAGGTGAGATGTGAATGACAGGCCGTGATCGGTGTTCCTCATATCGATTTTGAACTCTTTCTCCCTCCTCCTCCCTCTGAAAATAAGTAAATAAAATCTTTCAAACAAAAAACCTAAAGTCAAAGCAATCTTGAAAAGAACGAAGTATTTAAACTGCATGATTTCAAGACTGGCAATAAGGCTCCAGTCGCCAGGAACGGGGTGCTGACGTGAGGAGAGGCACCCGGGTCAATGAGAGAAGAGAGCGTTCGGAAACAAACCCACGCATGTACGGTCAATTTATTTTTGAAAAAAAAAAAAAGTCAAGGTAATTCAATGGGGGAAGACAGTCATTCCAACATATGGTAAGCAGTGCAGCTCAACCCTTACCTCACACCATACCCAAAAATTAACTCAAAATGCATCAAGACCTAAACATAAATGCTGAAGCTATAAAAACAGCTAGTAAAAAGAGAAACACAAGAGAGAATCTTTGTGACCTGAGATAGGCAAAGATTTCTTAAATAGGACACAAAAGCAGAAGCCATAATAGACAATTTTGATAAAATTGTGCACTTCAGCACAATTAAAGACTTTTTAAAAAAGATTGTATTTATTTATGTTTTTAGAGAGAGGGGAAAGGAAGGAGAAAGAAAGGGAGAGAAACATTGATGTGGGAAAGACACATTGATTAGTTTCCCCTTGCACACCTCCAACTGGGGACCTGGCTCACAGCCCAGGCATGTGCCCTGACAGGGAATCAAACTGGCAACCCTTTGGTTCACAGGCCAGCACTCAATCCACTGAGCCACGCCAGCCAGGGCCATTCTTCAAAATTCTGAAATAAGCACGCATACATTTTTATAATCAGAAAGAAGATTACAAGACAGGGAAAAGCTGTTGGCTCATATAGGTCCCAGGACACTCGCTGAAACATAGTTTGATTACAGTAGATGCAGTGACACCACCAGACATCTGGGAGGGCTCAAGTGGCATTTGCTCCTCCTCCCCATGCAGCACCGGGACACCCAGTGAAGGGAATAAGGCTGGCACATATATTGCTAAGTGACAGAAATGAGGACAGTGGTGTTGGGAACTGCCCTGCCTGGTTTCAGGAGCTGAAACGCCCCATGGCTAAGGCTGAGCGAGCGACCTTCGGACCATAAGCCACGACGGAGACAAAGCTTATCTCCCTGGCAGGAGTGCTGCTCCTGCTCCTTTTTTCATTACTGGCCCCTAATGCTTGATCAGTTAGCCAAATACGGTATGGGTAAGATTTCCCAAGGGAGGAGTGACCTAAGACAGGCATGACCACGTGGAGGCCCCAGGGAGGGACTTGGGGAGCTGTGGAGAAAGGGGGTGATGGACCCTCGCTCCTCGGCTTCGACGAAGCCTGAATCCTCAGTCAGTCTGCGTGAAGTCTCCGAGAATTCCTTGGCTATCTGCCTCCTCTGCCTGACTTAAGCCCGAAAACAATGACAGAGGGCGGTGCAGCCTTGTGCTGGGAATGGCAGGCTCCCTGGGTAATTAGGCCTGAGAAAGAATATGTGAAACCCTGTGAAACCTGCTTTCATAAGAATGCTTTTAGTTAGATGATAAAGGCCCGAGCAGAAAAAGAGTTTATGTTCCCAAAGTTCTGTAGCCTTTTAGCTGACAGGCCCTGATTTAGAAGAAACCCTAATGGTTCTTTGTATTCTATCTACTGTTTACTGCCTGACAGTGATTAATAGGTTGTACCTGAACTCCTGTGCTAAAAAACCAGTAAAAGCCTGTCTAGGCAAAGGTCAGTGATCTCTCTCTCCCTTTGAGAGAGTTGCCTGGCTGCTCCAAGCTGCTCTCCCCGAGAGGGTGGCAAGGCCATTCTGAGGCTCCCCCGCCTTGAGGGAATAGCCATGCCGGTCCTTTTCCTCCACAGGACTCGGTAGTCCGTGTGAATTTATCTCACGTCTCATCCATGACGCCGAGAGCACTGATGCTCAGTGCACGCGTCACGTGGGTGCAGGGTGCAGCTGCTTATGCAAGGAGGGCAAAGACACTGTCTGTGCTTGTGAGCACAGAAGAGTTTTTTTGAAAGATACACAAGAAACGAACACAGAAGTAACAGCAGTTTACTTTTGCAAAAGAGGACTTGAGTGGTGGCTCTGCGGCTGGGCACCCTCTTGCAAACTGAAGGGTCGCTCTTCAATTCCGGGTTAGGGCACGTGCCTGGGTTGTGGGTTTGGTCCCTGGCTGGGGTTGCACGAGAGGCTACTGACTGATGTTTCCTTCCCTTTCCCCGCCCCATCTCCTTTCTCTAAAATAAATAAATAAAATCTTAAAAAGGAAAGGATGGATTACTACCAGCTAATCTGAGGACTCCAACCACCTTTACCAGTTGTACCAATAAGTGTACTTCATGCTGCATACTTTTGAAATTTGTACCATATCTACATATTTACAAAAATTTTTAATGTATGCTTATATTTGACAAATGCAAATAAAAGTAAAAACTAAGTCATTCAAGAACAAGCCCTGGGGACCGGGGGACCCCTTGTGAAAATCTGACATAAATGAACCCATTTCTTGTTTGCCAATGAAAACTTTAGGAATATTTTCAAATATACATTTACAATCAAGTTGATAAAACTAGTATTTTCACTTCAATACAAAGTATGTTAGAGGACTCTTACATTTCAGACATGGTCATATATATATATATATTAATATATATATTAATTCTTTTTTTTTTTTGGTCTAGATACCAATCTCGACAATGACTCCCTTAATGATGGATGTGCAATGGGCTGGTCTGGGAACTCAAGAAGGTGATTATATCACTTTATAGTCTGTGTTGCTCCAGATCCTCACGGGCTGCCCATGGCTTGAGGTGGTGATACTGCCTCAGACAGGTATAGTCTGGGTGCCGCCTGTCTGTATATATGTAGGTATACTTGTCTGCAAGTATAGCTCCTACTGGTAGACAAGTAGCTACAAGAGATCTGCCCATTCCTCCTTAACAGTGCATTAAGGTTTTCCGGTTATCTTTAAGGCAGACTGCAAGCTCCTCCATCATGTCGCAGCAGCTGGCTCTGCCAGGAGGCCCTCCATCTCAGGGTGCATGAAGACCAGTGGTAACTCCATACTGCTGGTAGAGACCTAAAAGACTGGGGACTCTGAATTTTGACAGTTGCTCTTCTGGTGCAGAAAACAAATGTCTTGTATACCAGAGCTCTTTAGTTCTTCTGTATCTTTTTGGATATTTATTCTAATATCTTTATTTTTATTATATTTAATTTTTATTGTATTTTTCCATTACTATTTATCCCTTTGTACCTTCCACCCTCCTTTTTTAAAAAAAAAAAAGATGTTTGTACTTTTTTAAAGATTTTATTTATTTTTAGAGAGCAAGGAGAGAGGGAAAGAAACATCAGTGTGTGGTTGCCTCTCACATGGCCCCCACTGGAGACCTGACCTGCAACCCAGGGATGTGCCCTGACTGGGAATCCAACTGGCATTACTTTGGTTCGCAGCCCGTGCTCAATCCACTGAGCTACACCAGCCAGGGCCTCCCTCCTTCTAACATCTTTAAATTTACAACCTGGAAGAGCACACATAAACCCAGAAACAGAACAACTCATTCATGTTAGATGATATCAGAACTGGAGTCTGCTTGTCTTCAACAAGCTACTTTAGCCCCACTCTATATATATTTCAATTTCGGTGAGTCAAATTCACTTGTTTGGGAGGAATTCGGTGCCCTCATCGCTGGCCACCCCAATGGAGCCCTTTTAAACTCGAGCCCTAACAACCCTTACAGAGGAACTGCCTTGCTGCTCTTACTCCCTGAAGCTTTGGAATCAACTTCTGGACGGGACCAAACCAACATTGTCTGGCAAACAACCCTGAGCAAACCTAATAGGAAAGCAGATCTCTGATCACGGGGACTGATAATTATGGACATTCTTTAAACCAGCCATATATGTATAGCTAAAGAGTAACATAGCTTGCTAGAACCAATAGAAATTCCTTTTTTCTATTCATGTAATTATTTCCCTTCCTTTTTCCTCATAAAATCCCCTTTGCCTTCACTCTAAAATTGGGACACCATGTGAGTTTGGGTTTCTAACCAGATCTATGTCCCCAATGGCAATTCTGTGATCTCAAACGCCTCTCATTTCCACTGTTTTTGTTGTTGTTGTTATTTTGGTTAACAACCTCATTTTTCAGGCCATCTAAAAATGATTTCTCACGGGCCGTACACGGGGTGCGGTGGTTTCAACCAGTGTCCCAAGAGGCAGAAAAACAGGTCCTGAAAAGTGCCAAGCCTCAAGGCGAAGCTTGCTCCTCCCTATCATCCCACGCTCTGTCACAGGTGGTCAGGAACCGACTGCGACGTCGGCGCGGCCCCAGGTAGCAGAGCGGTCTGTCACGAGGCGCACAGGTTTCTGGCCTGCAACCCCATGAAGAAACCGACCTTTCGAGAACTCAGACTCGACACTCGACACATATCGTGCGTGCCGCACGATGCCACGGTGTGTGTGTGTGTGGGGGTTCCATTTCACCGCCTCCGCACTCTCGGGTCCCTCTAGAGTGCGGGCTCACCCATTGAAAAGTCCATGAGACGGTGACCCAGAGACCCCCACCCTCTGACACCAGATAATGACACCCTTGAAGTCAGGGACGTCTGGCCGTCCTGAACGCACCCTTCCTGTCCCGTTCAGCGCCACTCCAGGGAGCCAGGGGAAAGAAATGTGGGCAGAGGACCCGCCACCACAGCGGGGAATCAGGAGACCAGGGCCTTCGCGTCCCGCCCCCCCCACCCCCACCCCGACCAAGGAACCTGCCCCTTCAGTACGCGTCTGCCAGGGGGCGCACGAGGGAGGAGGCATGTCCGACGCAGGGGCCGATAGGACGGCGACGACGCCCGGATCCGCTCCCCACCGCGACCCTCCAGGAACCATGGGGCCTGGGGAGCACGGACAGGTGGGGACCAGAGAGGCGGCGCAGGGCCCATCGCCGCCAGGTCGCACAACCCACGCCTATAGACCAGGCGTGTGGCTATACGAAGTGCTTCAGAAGCACCAACCAAAGACCCGTCCCGGCACCTCCCGACGCTCCTTGGGCGTCTAGACTGGACCAGCCTCCCAGGCCCGGGACCCGATTCGGCCACGGAGCCGCTGTACGGCCCTGGTCCGGGAACTCCGCGCTCCAACGGCTCTCCTCGCCCACCTGAAGGAGACACAGACTCAGAGGCGGCCCCCACATGAGGGGCTAAGACTTTATTTGCGATCCGGGTCCCAGACTCCACCGGCGGCCAGGCTCAGAAGATCTTCACCGACTGCAGCTGCAGGTCCCCGCCCACCTCCACTGCGCGCACGCGCGCCGGCGGGATGCGGTAACGGAAGTGGTGATACTCCGCGTCCCCGACCACCGTCTGCGAAGACCCGGGAAGGCGGTGCCTCAGTTCCGGCCGCCCAGGCCCCAGCCCACGTCTTGCCAGCTCGGACTCGCGCCCAGTGACCAGGGTAGCCCCGTTCCCCAGTGGGTACCCGTGCGGATGTGCCTTCTAAACCCTTGTCCCGAGGCTGCAATCATGTGACTGCTGGCACCCGAGCGCCTCCCAACCGTGGGCAGCGGGTCGGACCTGAGTCGCACGAACCCGGCGCCCACTACCTCAGGACGGTAAACCGCCGGGTGGTGTGGGTCTCCGCGACCACTCTGCACGGGACTTGTTTCTGGGCCCCGAGTCCCGGCCCGCCCTTGAGGCTCAGGCGCCAATGAACAGGGAGTGGGGTAGGGGCGAAAGGCGGGGTCACACCTCGCCACTACGACTCCCACCCTCGGCACACTTCACTCTTACTAGCTTTGTCCTTGACTCCTCAGCACAAATCTGCCCTTGGGACACAGCTGAGGTGGCTCCCCGAGAGGGACTCCGATGAGGGCACCCCGCCCAGCCTTAGCCACGCCTTGGCTCCATACTTCCACCCAGGGCCTTGGCGGCCTTCCCCAGCCACAGCAGGGACCTGGTGGCAGAACCTCACCTTGAAGCCTTCTTCAGTGGCGATGAGGAGCACTTCAAAGGGCTGCCCACGCTGAAAGGGGAGCCCATGGCCACGCTCCTCCTTGCCCCAGGAGCCCTGCTCCTTGGTGTTGAAGACCACCACGGACTCGTCCAGCCGGGGGTTGAAATGCAGGGCAGCATCGCCACCCTCCTGGTCGCACAGCAGGTTCACATGGAACCTGGTGAATAGATGATGGGGGTGGGGGTGGCAAGGAACAAACGTCAAGAGCCATGAACCACCCAGACCATCAACGGCCAATGAATTAAGACAACCTGGAGCACACCCAGATTTACAGGAACCTGAGTGTGTACCACACCACAGGGGTTGTGGACTGCTGAACAAGGTCCCCAGACTCCAGGCAGACACACGCTTATTGGACACACCTCCACCAAGCAAGGATCACCACACTATGGCCTGGGTCTCCCTCCTTGCCAGAGTCTGGGAGTTTCCAAGGAGTCATGGTGCTGATGACCAGGGTGCTCCAGAATTTTAGAGAACCCCCAGTCCTCAAATGCCTGAGAACAATACCAGGGGCCCCAATATTTAGAGGCACCGAAATTCCCAGGAAGCCAGAAGCTTCCGGTCATAGGAGGCCATACAATTTATTTATTTATTTTTTAAAATTTTGAAAAAATGTATTTAGAGGGGAAGGGAAAAAGAGAGGGAGAGAAATGTCAATGTGTGGTTCCCTCTCGTGCATCCCCTGCCTGCAACCCAGGAATGTACCCTGACTGGTAATCAAACCACAATCTTCTAGTTTGCATGCCCGTGCTCAGTCCACTAAGCTACACCAGCCAGGGCTCGTACAATTTATTGCATAGGCCACCCAGATGCCCAGGGCACCTCCGGGTAACAAGAACCTTCCAGACTCCCTGGGGACTCAGTTGCGAAGTTGGAGAGCTATAAGTAGGAACCCCGAAATGGCTCGGAGCCCCCAGATTCTTACAGAACTTAGCTCCACAATCGGGGGGCATCTCTGTAAAGGCATCAGATTCCAAAATGTTGGTAATGGCCTGGGGATTCCAAACCCTGGTGCACAGAGGGGGCCCTGGGGGGGGGCCTCATCTCTGGGCTGAAGGGAGTCTGGGTGAGCTGGGCCTAGACCTCCCACCCCTTACCTCCACAACCTGGGGTCACACTGGAGTCTCACCTGCCAGCATTGTCGGGGACAGCACCTCGAATCCTCATCACGGTGCCCACTCTGACGCCCTCCGGCAGCGAGGTCTTGTGGGGCACGTTCTGCAAGAGGCCGGGTCAGTGGGGGAGGGGACAGTGAGTGGACCAGGGAGACCAAGCACAGGGACAGAGTTTCACCCCCAGGAGAAAGCCACAAGGATCCAGACCAACACAGAGAGAAAGAGGCAAAGAGAGCAAGACACAGGAGAAGAGATGTTTGGTGAAGCACAAAGATTAAGAGGAAAATACTCAGAGAAACCAAGGAGGCACCAAGAGGACATGGGAGCAATGGGATGGGTGGGTCCACCCAGAAGGCAGCACCCCACCACTGCACAGCACAGGAGACCACCCACCCACTCTCTCCAGTGACACAGGGCACCTCGGCCAGGCCCCACCCAGGCCCCTAGTCTGGTGCGGCCTTAGGTCCAGGACCCTCTGACCCTCAGGCCCTAGAAGACTCACAGAGCTCCCGGCCATGGCTGGGACGCTGGGGCAGGCAACGGTGGTGGTGGGTAGGTCTGCTGCAAACCTTAAGTAAAAGCAGGGCGTGCCAGGGCCTGATGACTCACCACTGTCTTTCCACACCCACCACCCACACCTGGCACAGGCCCTGGCCCTGGGGCTCTGGGGGGCCCAGCACCCTCCCACCCTCCTCCACTCACTCAAGGTTCCCAGGTGAACTGCCTCGCTCCTTTGAGCTGATAATGGTAGAAATAGTTAATAACGATGATGATGATAACAACAACAGTGGCGGCAGCAGCAGCAGCAGAAAAAGAGACTCACTGAGCCACCATCCACCCAGCCTTACCCTCCCTCTGCCTGGTGCAGAGAAAGACCCATTTTGTTGTGGAGAAACTTGAGTCCCCAGGGGCCAGGTCAGGGGTTGGAACTCTGACCCCTCCCTCCCAGGTTAGGACCTGCTGCTTGGGGCTAAGCTTGTGTCTGCCCGAAATTTCAGTTTATGCTCCTGTAATGTAACAGAAGCTGTAAGGGGCAGGATTTTTGCCTGACTTCCATGCTGTGCCCTGGTGCCCACACCAGTGCCTGGCACACAGTAAGTGCTCAGTAAGTGAGGGCAAAACAAGGGAATGGAAGTAACAGCAGCTGCCATGTGCTGGCACTCCGGGTCTGGCCAGCACTTGCAAGAGACCGACCATGTTCACACAGGGTGTTGAGGGACAGGCATGGACCCCACTCCCTCGCCCCCATTTTACAAGCAAGGAAACTGAGGCTCAGAAAGGGGAAGCACTCCCCCCAAAGCACACAGCTGTGCAATACTATGGTGACTGTGTCTCTGGCTTCCTTCATCTCTGGAAGCTGCTGTCCTGTCTATTTGGTGTTTGGGAACATCCGGGTCCCTGGGTGTCCCTCCATCTCTCCCCATCTCCAACTCGGCCTTCTTCCCCAAGTTCCTGCCCTGCTCCTCTCGCCTGTTCCTCATCCCACAATTACTACTGCTCTCCCGCCTAGTTTCAGGAAAAGGGGTGGAGGGTGGGGGGTGGTCCTAGGACCTACACACACCCCCAGACCAAGGAAGAGAACTCAGTGGGACCCTCCACCCAGGCCCATTTCCAGCCCCCATCGCCCAAGACTCTAGAGAAATCCAGGGGTGGGAAGAGTGGGCGGGGAGGAGGCAGAATGCTGAAAGATGGTTCTGGAAGTGGAGGGGGAGGAAGGGTGGGGAACTGGGCAGAAACGCCTCCGCCTCCTGTGACCCAGCAGCTCTCTTGTCTGTTTTCGCCCCTTTGCTGTCATCCCGTCCTGCCTCCCCCGACAGAGGGAAGTGGCCTGGGGCAGAGAAGGCTGGGGAATGGAAAGTCTGGGCAGGGACCAGCAGACTCGGCTCCTCACTCACCGCCCTTCAACGCTCCCCCAGGCCTCCCAGAACCGCCCCCTCCCCCGCCTCACTCCAGGTGCTGGTGAAGGCGGGGCAGCAAGGGCTTTGGAGAGGGAGGATGGGCAGCTGCTTTTGGGTGGGGGCTGTGAGTTCCCCAAACTCTCCATTTTGCAGAGAAGGAAACTCAGGCTTAGAGAGGGGCTTCCTCTCAGGCAAGGGCTCCCAGCAAGGGGGTGGGGGGACAGGCCTGGGCTGCAGTCCAGGGCTGTGGGCCAAGGGCACGTCCTGGGACACTAAACAGAAGAGGGCGGCGGGCTTTGAGGCTGCAGCCCCAAGAGCTCGGTGGAGACGTTCTCAGAACGCAGGGTTCCAGGGCTCCCACCACTGAGGGTGGCCCCTGCTCGCCCCATCTGTGCTTCTGCTGCATCCATCCCGGTGACACATCCTCTCCCCGGTTGCCTCATCCAAGCTGGAAAATTCTTCACAGGCTGCCGGCCTGCAAGTCCAAACTTGACTTTGGTGTGAGGCCAAACGTTTGCTCTTGATCTGCTATCGGTGTGGTTTCTGGTTCACGTCTGATAACCGAGATGTGCACACCCGTGTGACTCTCACTTGTGTGTGCAGACCATCTTCCTGTCGGTGCTGCAAGTGTGTTTTCGGGGGGCGCTGTTTTTGCTTCCAGATGAGGAGCGAACGTACTTCTTTCCCAGCCAAGACCCAGCCTTCTCAGGCTCTGCATCACACAGGACGGAAAATCCAGAGGACTTAGCACGCCCCCTGCACGGGCTTGTGGGACGCACCACAGCCCTGTGCGGCCACTAGGGGGACCTAGGCCCCCTACCGGCCCCGGGTCACTGTCCTGTCCTCAGCGTCCCACAGGCTCACGACCATTCGCCATGAAAATAAGGAAGAGGGGCGGCCCGCAGGCTGAGGGTGCGGGCTTTCACCCTCCTTCAGGGCGGGACTCTGCAGGCATCAGCTGACTGGACACAGGCTCAGCGCAGGAGTCCCGGCCTCACGCGCCGTCAGTGTGGCTTCCTGGTGATTTGGGGCCCTTTTCTGTGCAAGTGGAGATAATCCAGGGGCTGCTTTGGTGTTTGTAAATAAACTCTAAAAAAAAAAAAAAGACACATCCAACAATCTGACCTTTTTCTTAAGCTAGGAAGCCCATTGGAAACCTTAATTTCTATTTAAAAATACAGGCAGTTGTCCAATGCAGTCCCTGCCAAGGTCCTCCCTTTCTGTTGTGTTTCATGCCTTAATAAACTTCTTTCATTAAACTCTCCTCAGTATTTTAGGCTGCATGGGTATTAAATTATTGCCACCGTCCAACGAAGTCTCCAAAGCATAAGGAATTCTTGCAATTCCCATGAATGAATTGTGGATATGCCAGTGCCCCTCACTTCCTCCCTTCCCTTCCCTCCCCTCCCCTCCCCTCCCCTCCCCTCCCCTCCCCTCCCCTCCCCTCCCCTCCCCTCCCCTCCCCCTGTTGGACTCTTGGGCCCTACAGCCCTTAGGTGGGTGAACAAGGGCTGCCTCCTAAGGGTGGGGAGGCCATGGGGCCCTGAGTGGGCTGAGGGGCACCTCTTCCTTGGGGGCCGTGTCCAGCTGGGGCATCAGAGGAGCAGTTGAGAAGGGGGCTCAGCAGAGGGCTGACCCTCAGGGTATGGGGTTGGGGGATAAAGAGGGCAGCAGGAGGGGGCACCCAGCCCCCCACAGGGAAGAGGTGTCTGTGCAGGGCTGGGGCCCACTGAGCGGTGCTAGGCCAGCAGGGCCAGGAGGGGTCCCCTGGGGAGGTAACACCTTGTGGGCATCAGGGTGGCAGACCAGGTCCGCTCTGTCACACTCATCAGAGAGGGCGCAGGTATGGGAGATGGGACAAAGCCCATGAACGTGAGACCTTGGGTAGGAATTAGACCAGTCGTTTTGAGCTAATCATTCCATGACTGGGCATTTATCTGGGGGTGGAGGCAACGTTACTTTCTTAGAAAAGTTTTTATTGTGTTAAAATATAAGTAACATAATATCATAATTTTGTAACCATGTTTTAACGTCCTCAAGTTCATTCTGTGTGTTGAAGTCCTTGCCTGTTGTTCCGCACCCTCACAGCGTCCGTCTCCGGACCTTTACCCCTTCCGGTCCGAGACCAGTCTCCGTACCCGCGTCCCCTCCCCTGGCCGCCACCATCCAGCACCCTACTTTCCCTCCACTGAGTGTGACTGCGCCAGGGAGTTTGGATGAGTGGAAGCCCACGGAAGCTCCCGTCTGTGAGTGAAGGGCAGAGACACGTACGCGAGACAAGTGAACACAGGTGGAAATGTGTGTGTGGATGCGGAAGGTGGCAAAACACGCCTGCCCGACACAGGCCCCTTGGGCGTGAGGTTATTTGAGGAAAGGAACTTGCAGGACAGCAGGTTCCAGAGGAGCGTTTCTACCTCCCTTTTCTTCCTGAAAAAAAAGTGGGACGCGCCCACATGAAAAACGCCCTTCCAGGAGGAGAGTAACAGAAGGAAGGCAACGTTCTTCTCATCACACTGAGACTCAGAGGACTGTATATGAACAGGCCTTGGGAAAATAATTCTTATCTTCCTTCAGCCGCCTCAGTTATTACTTTAGTTGCTTTTCCACAATTGCCCTTATATTCAACTTGAGAGAGAGGCATGTGATTCTAGCCATTTCTCCGGAGACGGACGCTGTGAGGGTGCGGAACAACAGGCAAGGACTTAACTGCACAGAATGAACTTGGGGACGTTAAAACATGGTTACAAAATTACAATATTATGTTACTTATATTTTAACACAAAAACTTTTCTAAGAAAGTAACGTTGCCTCCACCCCCAGATAAATGCCCAGTCATGGAATGATTATCTCAAAACGACTGCTCTAATTCCTACCCAAGGCCTCACGTTCATGGGCTTTGTCCCATCTCCCACACCTGCGCCCCCTCTGATGAGTGTGACAGAGCGGACCTGGTCTGCCACCCTGATGCCCACAAGGTGTTACCTCCCCAGGGGACCCCTCCTGGCCCTGCTGGTCTAGCACCGCTCAGTGGGCCCCAGCCCTGCACAGACACCTCTTCCCTGGGGGGGGGGGGTGCCCCCTCCTGCTGCCCTCTTTATCCCCCGACCCCATACCCTGAGGGTCAGCCCTCTGCTGAGCCCCCTTCTCAACTGCTCCTCTGATGCCCCAGCTGGACACGGCCCCCAAGGGAAGAGGTGCCCCTCAGCCCACTCAGGGCCCCATGGCCTCCCCACCCTTAGGGAGGCAGCCCTTGTTCACCCACCTAAGGGCTGTAGGGCCCAAGAGTCCAACAGGGGAAGGGGGAGGGGAGGGGAGGGGGGGAGGGGAGGGAGGGGAGGGGAGGAGGAGGGGAGGGGAGGGGAGGGGAGGGAAGGGAAGGGAGGAAGTGAGGGGCACTGGCATATCCACAATTCATTCATGGGAATTGCAAGAATTCCTTATGCTTTGGAGACTTCGTTGGACGGTGGCAATAATTTAATACCCATGCAGCCTAAAATACTGAGGAGAGTTTAATGAAAGAAGTTTATTAAGGCATGAAACACAACAGAAAGGGAGGACCTTGGCAGGGACTGCATTGGACAACTGCCTGTATTTTTAAATAGAAATTAAGGTTTCCAATGGGCTTCCTAGCTTAAGAAAAAGGTCAGATTGTTGGATGTGTCTTTTTTTTTTTTTTAGAGTTTATTTACAAACACCAAAGCAGCCCCTGGATTATCTCCACTTGCACAGAAAAGGGCCCCAAATCACCAGGAAGCCACACTGACGGCGCGTGAGGCCGGGACTCCTGCGCTGAGCCTGTGTCCAGTCAGCTGATGCCTGCAGAGTCCCGCCCTGAAGGAGGGTGAAAGCCCGCACCCTCAGCCTGCGGGCCGCCCCTCTTCCTTATTTTCATGGCGAATGGTCGTGAGCCTGTGGGACGCTGAGGACAGGACAGTGACCCGGGGCCGGTAGGGGGCCTAGGTCCCCCTAGTGGCCGCACAGGGCTGTGGTGCGTCCCACAAGCCCGTGCAGGGGGCGTGCTAAGTCCTCTGGATTTTCCGTCCTGTGTGATGCAGAGCCTGAGAAGGCTGGGTCTTGGCTGGGAAAGAAGTACGTTCGCTCCTCATCTGGAAGCAAAAACAGCGCCCCCGAAAACACACTTGCAGCACCGACAGGAAGATGGTCTGCACACACAAGTGAGAGTCACACGGGTGTGCACATCTCGGTTATCAGACGTGAACCAGAAACCACACCGATAGCAGATCAAGAGCAAACGTTTGGCCTCACACCAAAGTCAAGTTTGGACTTGCAGGCCGGCAGCCTGTGAAGAATTTTCCAGCTTGGATGAGGCAACCGGGGAGAGGATGTGTCACCGGGATGGATGCAGCAGAAGCACAGATGGGGCGAGCAGGGGGCCACCCTCAGTGGTGGGAGCCCTGGAACCCTGCGTTCTGAGAACGTCTCCACCGAGCTCTTGGGGCTGCAGCCTCAAAGCCCGCCGCCCTCTTCTGTTTAGTGTCCCAGGACGTGCCCTTGGCCCACAGCCCTGGACTGCAGCCCAGGCCTGCCCCCCATCCCCTTGCTGGGAGGCCTTGCCTGAGAGGAAGCCCCTCTCTAGGCCTGAGTTTCCTTCTCTGCAAAATGGAGAGTTTGGGGAGCTCACAGCCCCCGCCCAAAAGCAGCTGCCCATCCTCCCTCTCCAAAGCCCTTGCTGCCCCGCCTTCACCAGCACCTGGAGTGAGGCGGGGGGAGGGGGGCGGTTCTGGGAGGCCTGGGGGAGCGTTGAAGGGCGGTGAGTGAGGAGCCGAGTCTGCTGGTCCCTGCCCAGACTTTCCATTCCCCAGCCTTCTCTGCCCCAGGCCACTTCCCTCTGTCGGGGGAGGCAGGACGGGATGACAGCAAAGGGGCGAAAACAGACAAGAGAGCTGCTGGGTCACAGGAGGCGGAGGCGTTTCTGCCCAGTTCCCCACCCTTCCTCCCCCTCCACTTCCAGAACCATCTTTCAGCATTCTGCCTCCTCCCCGCCCACTCTTCCCACCCCCCGGATTTCTCTAGAGTCTTGGGCGATGGGGGCTGGAAATGGGCCTGGGTGGAGGGTCCCACTGAGTTCTCTTCCTTGGTCTGGGGGTGTGTGTAGGTCCTAGGACCACCCCCCCACCCTCCACCCCTTTTCCTGAAACTAGGCGGGAGAGCAGTAGTAATTGTGGGATGAGGAACAGGCGAGAGGAGCAGGGCAGGAACTTGGGGAAGAAGGCCGAGTTGGAGATGGGGAGAGATGGAGGGACACCCAGGGACCCGGATGTTCCCAAACACCAAATAGACAGGACAGCAGCTTCCAGAGATGAAGGCAGCCAGAGACACAGTCACCATAGTATTGCACAGCTGTGTGCTTTGGGGGGAGTGTTCCCCTTTCTGAGCCTCAGTTTCTGCCACGGTCCAGCCGCAACGGGTCAAGGGGTCCCACAGGTGAGGGTAGGCGTCGGCGCTGGGTAACAGACGACAACACGCCTCAAAGGACAGTGAAGCTCTGTTCCGTTTATTGCAAGTACAAGCAGGTTTTTATATTTTCATTTTAGGTAGTGATTAACATTTGCAGTATAACATGATCATTTAAGCAGAAAAAATCAATACAAAGGTAATCAGTAAAAGTACGAAAGTTCCCATAGATTTAAAGATTATTTTAACTAGGACAGCCATTAATCAGACAATTAGAAGTATCTTATTGTATATTAAAGTTTCTCAGAATTTGTCATAGGGCAAAAGGATACGCTAGATTGAGTAGAGAAAATAGGAAATTTATTATAAGGCCCTTGTGATGTCTAACTTAGCTCTCTACCTTTTTTTTGCCCAAAATTATTTTTCTGTGTACCATAAATCCTGACTCCCTAGTGACTGTTTAGTTTGTAATAACCAACTAGCTATTGTTATTTCTTTGCCTGTCTAGTTGATATATATTCTTATTCAAGGTAAAGGAGGGGCTATTCCTATGTTGCAGGGGGCTTTTAAGGGTACTTCTTTTAAGTTTTTCTAGGAGTTCTTTTATAGACATGTTTTGTACTTTGATTCCCTCTAAGAAAGCAGTGAGATCATCTCCTGATTTCCTAGAGTATTCTATCTTATCTTGGGTGTTTTTCCAATGATCTGTTATTGATTAAGCTTGAATTCTCAGATTTTTCTGGTTGTTTCTTTGTACTTATATTCCCTGACGTTCTAGTATGATATTATTCTGTTCATTGAGCCGGGAAAGGTCCAGGCACACTATCTGAATCACTGCCAGGGTATTCATAATGATTAAAGCAAAAAGGGTCATGATCCCCAAAGCAAACACAATCACAATAGGTTATTGCAGGGCCTTCCATGCCACGTCCACCAGGTTGGAAACTGCTTCCTTGAAGTCTTACACCCCCTCTCAGGACCTTGTCACGGAGAGAGGGATCCAACAGTGGACACGGCAGTGGACGTGGCAAGTTTCCTTGATTGTAAAATGGGGACGAGGGAGTGGGGTCCATGCCTGTCCTTCAACACCCTGTGTGAACATGGTCGGTCTCTTGCAAGTGCTGGCCAGACCTGGAGTGCCAGCACATGGCAGCTGCTGTTACTTCCATTCCCTTGTTTTGCCCTCACTTACTGAGCACTTACTGTGTGCCAGGCACTGGTGTGGGCACCAGGGCACAGCATGGAAGTCAGGCAAAAATCCTGCCCCTTACAGCTTCTGTTACATTACAGGAGCATAAACTGAAATTTCGGGCAGACACAAGCTTAGCCCCAAGCAGCAGGTCCTAACCTGGGAGGGAGGGGTCAGAGTTCCAACCCCTGACCTGGCCCCTGGGGACTCAAGTTTCTCCACAACAAAATGGGTCTTTCTCTGCACCAGGCAGAGGGAGGGTAAGGCTGGGTGGATGGTGGCTCAGTGAGTCTCTTTTGCTGCTGCTGCTGCTGCCGCCACTGTTGTTGTTAATCATCATCATCGTTATTAACTATTTCTACCATTATCAGCTCAAAGGGAGCGAGGCAGTTCACCTGGGAACCTTGAGTGAGTGGAGGAGGGTGGGAGGGTGCTGGGCCCCCCCAGAGCCCCAGGGCCAGGGCCTGTGCCAGGTGTGGGTGGTGGGTGTGGAAAGACAGTGGTGAGTCATCAGGCCCTGGCACGCCCTGCTTTTACTTAAGGTTTGCAGCAGACCTACCCACCACCACCGTTGCCTGCCCCAGCGTCCCAGCCATGGCCGGGAGCTCTGTGAGTCTTCTAGGGCCTGAGGGTCAGAGGGTCCTGGACCTAAGGCCGCACCAGACTAGGGGCCTGGGTGGGGCCTGGCCGAGGTGCCCTGTGTCACTGGAGAGAGTGGGTGGGTGGTCTCCTGTGCTGTGCAGTGGTGGGGTGCTGCCTTCTGGGTGGACCCACCCATCCCATTTCTCCCATGTCCTCTTGGTGCCTCCTTGGTTTCTCTGTCTATTTTCCTCTTAATCTTTGTGCTTCACCAAACATCTCTTCTCCTGTGTCTTGCTCTCTTTGCCTCTTTCTCTCTGTGTTGGTCTGGATCCTTGTGGCTTTTTCCTGCGGGTGAAACTCTGTCCCTGTGCTTGGTCTTCCTGGTCCACTCACCATCCCCTCCCCCACTGACCCGGCCTCTTGCAGAACGTGCGCCACAAGACCTCGCTGCCGGAGGGCGTCAGAGTGGGCACCGTGATGAGGATTCGAGGTGCTGTCCCCGACAATGCTGGCAGGTGAGACTCCAGTGTGACCCCAGGTTGTGGAGGTAAGGGGTGGGAGGTCTAGGCCCAGCTCACCCAGACTCCCTTCAGCCCAGAGATGAGCCCCCCCCCCCAGGGCCCCCTCTGCGCACCAGGGTTCGGAATCCCCAGGCCATTACCAACATTTTGGAATCTGATGCCTTTACAGAGATGCCCCCCGATTGTGGAGCTAAGTTCTGTAAGAATCTGGGGGCTCAGAGCCATTTCGGGGTTCCTACTTATAGCTTTCCAACTTCCCAACTGAGTCCCCAGGGAGTCTGGAAGGTTCTTGTTTCCCAGAGGTGCCCTGGGCATCTGGGTGGCCTATGCAATAAATTGTATGAGCCCTGGCTGGTGTAGCTTAATGGATTTAGCAGGGGCCTGCAAACCAGAAGATTGTGGTTTGATTCCCAGTCAGGGTACATTCCTGGGTTGCAGGCCAGTTCCCAGCAGGGGATGCATGAGAGGGAACCATACATTGATATTTCTCTTCCTCTCTTTTCCCCTTCCCCTCTAAAGATAAATAAATTTTTAAAAAATCTTTTAAAAAAATAAATAAATTATATGGCCTCCTATGACCGGAAGCTTCTGGCTTCCTGGGAATTTCAGTGCCTCTAAATATTGGGGCCCCTGGTATTGTTTTCAGCCCTTTGAGGACTGAGGGGTTCCCTAAAATTCTGGAGTACCCTGGTCATCAGCACCACACCTCCTTGGAAACTCCCAGACTCTGGCAAGGAGGGAGACCCAGGCCATAGTGTGGTGATCCTGGCTTGGTGGAGGTGTGTCCAATAAGCATGTGTTCCGTTTGGAGTCTGGGGACCTTGTCCAGCAGTCCACAACCCCTGTGGTGTGGTACACACTCAGGTCCCTATAAATCTGGGTGTGCTCCCCGTTAATTCTTAATTCATTGGCCGTTGATGGTCTGGGTGGTTCATGGCTCTTGACATTTTTCCTTGCCACCCCCACCCCCATCATCTATTCACCAGGTTCCATGTGAACCTGCTGTGTGATGACCAGGAGGGTGCCGATGCTGCCCTGCATTTCAACCCCCGGTTGGGCCAGTCCGTGGTGGTCTTCAACACCAAGGAGCAGGGTGCCTGGGGCAAGGAGGAGCGTGGCCATGGGCTCCCCTTTCAGCGTGGGCAGCCCTTTGAAGTGCTCCTCATCGCCACTGAAGAAGGCTTCAAGGTGCGGCTCTGCCACCAGGTTCCTGCTGTGGCTGGGGAAGGCCTCCAAGGCCCTGGGTGGAGGTGTGGAGCCAAGGCGTGGCCAAGGCTGGGCTGAGTGCCTTCATAGGAGTCCCTGTCAGGGAGCCACCTCAGTTGTGTCCCAAGGGCAGATTTGTGCAGAGGCAAGGACAAAGCCAGTAAGAGTGAAGTGTGAGGAGGGTGGGAGTCTTAGTGGCGAGGCGGGGCCCAGCCTTCCGCCCCTACCCCCCTCCTTGTTCATTGGCGCCTGGGCGCCTGAGCGCCTGAGCCACAGGGGCGGGCCGGGACTCGGAGCCCAGAAACAAGTCCCATGCGGAGTGTCGCGGAGGGCCGCACCACCCAGCAGTTCACCGTCCTGAGGCAGTGGGCGCCGGGTTCGTGGGGATCACATCCCACCCGCTGCCCACATTTAGGAGGCGCTCGGGTACCAGCAGTCACGTGATTGCAGCCTCGGGACAGGGATTTAGAAGGCAAATCCGCACGAGTGCCCACTGGGGACCGGGGCTACCCAGGTTACCGGGCGCGGGTCCGGGCTGGCACGACGCTCGGGTGGGCCTTGGGCGGCCGGATCTGAAGCACCGTCCCGGGTCTTCGCAGACGGTGGTCGGGGACGCGGAGTATCACCACTTCCGCTACCGCATCCCGCCGGCGCGCGTGCGCGCAGTGGAGGTGGGCGGGGACGTCGAGGTGCAGTCTTTGAAGATCTTCTGATCCCGGCCGGCAAATAAAGTCTTAGCCCCTCATCTGGGCGCCTCCTCTGAGTCGAGTCCGTGTCTTCTTCACGTGAGCGAGGAAAGCCATTAGAGCGCGGAGTTCCCGGCCCAGGGCCGTACAGCGGCTCCGAAGCCGAGGCGGGGCTCGGGCGTGAGCCTGCGGGGCTGATCCAGTCTGGACGCCCAAGGAGCGTCGCGAGGTGGGGGGACGGGTCTTTGGTTGGTGCTTCTGAAGCACTTTGTATAGCCACACGCCTGGTCTATAGGCGTGGATTGGGCGACCTGGCAGCGATGGGCCCCGCGCCGCCCCTCCGGTCCCCACCTGTCCGCGCTCCCCAGGCCCCAGGGTTCCTGGAGACGCTTGGGCGGGTCGCGGTGGGGAGCGGATCGGGACATCGTCCGGGTCCCATCGGTCCGTGCATCGGACAGGCCTCCGCCCGCGTGCTTCCTCGGGCAGACGCGTACTGATGGGCGGGTTCCCGGGGGTGGGCGGGACGCGAAGGCCGAGGGCTCCTAGTTTCCCGGCTTCCGGGGCGGGTCCCCGTCCACATTTCTTCCCCATCTCCCCGGAGTGGCGCTGAAGGGGACAAGAAGGGTGTGTTCCAGACGGTCAGACGCTCAGCTCACCCCCGACTGCCAGGGGGTGATTAGTGTCAGTGGGTGTGAGTGGGGGTCTGTGGGGCACCGCCAAATGGACTTTGCGGTGGGGAAAACCGGGACTATGTTAGCGCCTTGAGCGTCTCCATCTCCGAGAGGCTCTTGGATCGGCGGTGCTGAGTTGTGGATGGAGCCCCTCCGGTGGGAGAGTGCCCCTCCCCCCAAAGTGTGGCTCCAGTCAATTTCCGGAGCCCGCTTTGGCAGGATTCGTGTTTGAACGCTTAGGACCTTGAGGAGCCTGTGACCTCTCCTCTCCTGGTGGCCGCCACGGACCTTGCAGTCTTAGCGATCTGTGCGGGAGCCCTGTGTACCCTATTTTGCCTGGGCAGGAGGGCAAAATCCTGTGGGACCCCAACGCAGGGAGTCCTTCGAGCTTTTTCAGGACCTGAACTTTTTGTGCACTTTTCAAACTGCCACTTGTATCGCCTCTCCCTTCTGAATATATTTCTGGGTGGCCAGTTGAAATTAGGGCTCCCCTTGCCCAATTGGACACCCGAGAAAGGCTGGCAGTCACTGGTACTCTGAGCTGATTGTTAAATGAATCGATTTTTATTTTATTTCTGTGATACAGTTCTTGGGCATTAAAAAAATGTAAAGATAATATATCCATACTTACAAATTTCCAAAAAAATACAGTGAAAAATAAGACGTTATTGGCATGCCTGGTAAAGGGGGTTGGATTCTGCAGACTAAATGGGGATTAGACAGTGAGCCCTGTGTTACTTTCCTGACTCTCACGTTTGTTTTTACCATGTGTATAGTGCAGAATATTCTTTTATTTCTTCCTTTCTCTCTCTCTTTTTTTGAGTTGTGTAACCCTTTATTATCAACTAAAATTGAAGGTATCTGTCCTACAACACGAGTAGGTATTGACTATAACTGGAGATTATTATATTCTAATACAGACCATGTATAAATGCAATTTTTATTTAAAAGCTTCCACCTTTTGGTTTGTGCACAATATGCAAAACTTCTGAAAGTGGAATATACATGCACAAGTCTGCAAAGAGTGCAAGTTTAGGACACCATCAATGGTTTACATGTTACTTTTTAAAAACTGTCACAACTGGGCTGTTACATTGCCATCTTTTCTTGTCAAAGTATTTCAGGCCAGCCCTCCTTCCACCGCCCTAAACGATAAAGCATTTTCAATGAGTTGAAATTATGAAGGCTACACCTCTTAGAAAAGAAGAAAAACTTTTTTAAATTAATTAATTATTTATTTATTTTTAGAGAGAAGGGAAGTGAGGGAGAAAGAGAGGGAGGGAAACATTGGCCCACAACCCAGGCCTGTGCCCTGACTATGAACTGAACCCATGACCCTTCGGTTCGCAGACCAGTGGTGCTCAGTCCACGGAGCCACATCAGCCCAGGTGAAGAGAAACTTCTGTTAGTTTGAGGTTTCAGAATCCCCCTGAACCTGGACCAGTATCTTGGTAAGGGCTGGGCTGGCACCGGGAGCAGAGTGTGAGTGTGGACGCCATGGCTGTGAGCCAGACCTTCAGTGCACGGAGAGCACTCGTGCAGCATGGCTCACTGAACTGCCTTGCCCCTTTCTACATGGGCTTCACTGGACATAATTCAGAAAAGTTTTATTTAGTTTTAAAAGAGTTTATTTATTTACTTATTTTTATAAAGAGGGGAAGGCAAAGAGGAAGAGAGGGAGAGAAGCATCAATGTGTGGTTGCTTCTCACACACCCCCTGCTGGGGACCTGGCCTGCAACCCAGTCACGTGCCCTGACTGGGAATGGAACCAGTGACTGGGTTGCAGTCCAGCACTCAATCCACTGAGCCACACCAGCCAGGGCCATAAAAACTTAAAAAGCTAGTATTTATCCCATTCTTCTGGAGCTCTGTGATAGCATTTAATAATATCCCAAAGGAATCCCTTCCACATATAGTATTATGGTATTTCTTCAAGTAATTTCTAAAAGATACAGGGTTTAACCCTGGCTGGTGTGGCTCAGTGGATTGAACGTAGGCCTGGGAACCAAATGGTTGCCAGTACCATTCCCAGTCAGGGCACATGCCTGGCTGTGGGCCAGGTCCCCAGTAGGGGGCGCAGGAGAAGCAACCACGCATTGATGTTTCTCTCCCTCTTTCTCCCTCCCTTCCCTTCTCTCTGAAAATAAATAAATAAAATCTTTCAATAAAAAGATACAGGGTTTAGCTGTTCCATAATCCTCATACCCGTTTTATCTAGATGCTCAGTGGATCTATAAATCTCTTCGTAGGATTCATCATAGTAACTGTAACGAAACTTTTGAATCCAATGGCAGAAATCAGAAGAAACCACAAAGAGATTACTATGATCCACTAGGTATTTACTGAGAAGTTTTCCAAACTCCTATCCTTTTGACTCACTCAGAGCTACAGCTAGTACAGAAATAATGGTAAACTCATCCTTACGGCTTTCCATGGCTTTAGCTGTGTAAGGCAAATGCGTTTCAATATCATGTTCACCTTCATGTGTCTGTAGGGACATGCATCCTTCCTGTCTTCCATAGTTCCCTGTAAATCTTTTGGTCAATACAAAGGTCGTACAGAGGTATTCTACGTACTTGTATAAATTCACGGAAAGTGCACACTGACTGAGGGAGGGGCCTAAAGTGGGAAGGTCAAGGATTCAAATTCTCTGGGTAGTAGGTGGGTCCACTTGTTTGTAACACAAGCAGCAGAGGTCCCCAGTAGTACAAGCTGCACGGATACACTGCTGTTTACAAATGGCCCGAGCATTTTGGAGGCTGTACTTGTGAAAGCCAACCCTCTAGTTGGCTTTCTGCTGCAATCGTAGGCTGCGCATTCTGCTGCAATCGGAGGCTGTGCCCCAGCTCCAGTGTGACCCGGCCACAGGGGTTTACAAGGCCAAGGGGTTGTTTGTGGAGGTGGGTGGGGGCATATATTAAGAACGTATTTCATGCCACTAAACTGTACATTTAAAGATGGCTGAGATGGTAAATTTTATGTTATGTGCTTTTTTACCACAATGTTAAAATTTGGGAAAGGACTATATATAAACACAAATATATCCTGTCTTCTGGGAGGACCCTACTGTTACCATGTCTTATGTATCTTTCAAAATACCTTCTATGCGCTTGTAAATACAAGCACAGGCCATTTCTTCGCCTTCTTCGCATTAAAAGTAGCGCCCTGCACACACTGACCTCATCTTTGTCCCATGCAGTCCGCCTTCACTCACTTTGCTGGGTGCCCAGCGCTCCATCGCAAGAAGGAAGGTAGCGGTGACGTAGCGTCTACTACAACCAAACCATGCTCTGGTGGATGTCCTGGGACCTACCTCAGCCAATAGCTTTTTACCTTTTTTAGTTATCTCCGTTCAGGCCCTGGCTGGGTAGCTCAGTGCTCAGCGTATGGTCCTGATACATCAAGGTTGTGGGTTCCATCCCCAGTCAGGAAACATACAAGAATCAACCAATGAATGCCTAAATAAGTGAAACAACAAATGGAAGTTTTTCTGTCTTTCTCAAAAAAAGAAAACCAAAAAGTATGCCCCAGCCAATGTGGCTCAGTTGGCTAGGCATCATCCCACAAACTGAAAGGTTGTCCGTTAATTCCTGGTCAGGGCAAATGCCCTGGGTGCGGGTTCAGTCCCCCATTTGGGGGGCGTACGGAAGGCAAACTATCGACGCTTCTCTCCCTCTCTTTCTCCCTTCCTCTCTCTCTAAAAATTAAAAAAGTATAAGAAAAATCAATAAATAAAAATATTTTTTAATAATCTCCCTTCAGATGATAAAATGTATGCAGGATTTTGAGTAATAAATTTAAAGTCACCCACAATTTCAATCCTCTGAATTAATCACACTTAATATATATTAGTGTGTTTCCTTCTAGTCTTTTTCTACAATAATTTACACTGTATCTTTTGGGGAAACTTGGGATTTGGATATATGTATCTGGATAGCTAACATTTTCTGAGTCTCTACTACGTTAGTTACTGTGTTACTATCCCTTCAATCCCTAAAAATGACCCTCTGAGGTAGGTACTCTTATTATTTCTATTTTGGAAACAAGGGATCGGATGCACAAGAAAATTAAGTGAGCTGTTCAAGGTCACACATCATGTAGATGGCGGAGCAGGGACCAGAGCCAGGCGGATGTGATCCCACAGCTTGGGATCTAAACCCCTGGGAAATCGAGGTTTGTTTTGGTTTTTAAATAACGACTGTACTGAGGTTTCACATACACACAGTACAATCCGCCCTTTCCAGATGTACAGTTCCATGAGTTTTGATAAATCCACGCCGCGTGTGCCCAGCAGCGTGGTCAGGGCTCCGGGCGGTTCCAGGGGCCCCGCCCAGGCACACCCTGGGCACCTGGCAGCCACCCGTCTGCCCTCCGTCATCACGAAGTGGTTTCCCCTGCCCTACCACTGGTGTAAAGGTCCCTTTCTGCCTGGCTCCTTTCTTTCAGCAGAATGTTTCTGAGTGTTCCTTCACGTGTTTGCGGGTATCAGTAAGTCATCCCCTGCAGTCTGAGTGGTAATCTGCCCTGTGACCGCGTCACCCGTTGTTCATCCGGTCATCTGTTGGTGCACACTGAGCTGTTTCCAGAGTCGGTGACTGTGAATCAGGACCGCAGGAACACATCTTTGTGGGCACATGCGTTTTGATT